CGTAAGTTTTTTATTAATATATACATTGTAAAATATATACATTGTAAAAATGCAATTAGGATTATTATTACACGAAAATTCTAAAAATGAAAATCTTTTTTTGTATCGTGAAAGTAATTACAGCGAAGGCACAAAAGTTATATCAAGTCTATTATAAAAATAATTTCGAATTATAATTAATAATATTAATAGCAATAAAGAAAATCGCCATTTCGTGTATTAGATAGCGTGAAAATACACAGCAATTACAATAGAACAGGGTTAATTGCGGCAAAGGCTAATGTTCTTTTTTTTTTTTAAGAATAAAACACTATGTTCCTTTTTAAACATGTTTTTAATGCTTCAAACATGCTTTAACATACTTTAAATAGTATTATAAAAAACGTGTTAAGAACATTGATTAAGAATATATTAAACTATCAAAACATGTTTTTACCAACCCTACGAAGTGATGCAGCGTATCGTGATGTTCGAAATGTCATTTGGTGTGTGAACAGAGTGTGGTGTAGTGAGTAGTGAGCAGTAGTGAGTGGGCAAGAAAGTGAGAGTGTCAAAGAGGGAGAGAAAAAGAGAGACGAACAGAGATTTAGAGGTATTTTTCTTGTGCGATCGATTTTTTGAGTTCGGTGAGAAAAATCCTTCTGAACTCGAGGTAACCACGATGGATCGCGAACTGGTCGACAAATTCATCGAGGTAACGGGTAAGTCACATTTTGCCTGTAAGTTAGCGCGAGAATTATCGTTCAGGTTAAATAATGCGAGCATAACCAGTTAGCGTCACGATTATAAACACACATTTTTTTCTTCAAATTTGAGTGAATCGCGAACGAAGCCGCAAATATAAATGCTACGAACGATATCACGGTACGGACGGATGCGGACGACGTGCTGGATGTTTAGTTTGTGTCTTCCATTTAGGCGAGAGTGAGGCGACCGCTCGGCAGTACCTGACGTTGGCCGATGGAAACGTGGAGATGGCGATCAGTTTGATGTTCGAGGGTGGTAGACCACCGGAAACCGAAAACGCGAATCCTGAGCCACCTGTGAGGGCTCCGATACTTCCTACGCGCGAGATCCTGGTACCCTCAGATCCTATGTGTTCATTGCCACAGTTGTCGAATAATGTATTTGATAGATTTAGAGATTTTGCGGTGGAAACCCGTAAGTATTATCGTATAATATAAAAATTAGAATATCTATATAATACATGAAACATATAACATATTTCTTAGATATATAATATATAATACATATTGGATGATTAATATAGAACGGCAAGAAGAAGAGATGACTCGCCGAGTAACTGGCGGTGCAAAGCAATTGTCTCAGAAGAAATCAAAGCGATTGGAAGATCTGTTCCGACCACCATGTGATATTCTCTTTTTGGGTTCCTTCATGGAAGCACGGGACCATGCGAAAACTTTAAATCGTTGGCTGCTTGTCAATGTTCAGAATCCACAAGAATTTAGTTGTCAGGTTCTTAATAGGGACGTGTGGCCCAATGAGCATATCCAAGAAATTGTGAAGGATCACTTTATCTTGTGGCAAGTATGTCGTACTAGAATATCATGCCACTTTTTATGCATTAAAACCAAATTTTTAATATTTGTTTAAATAGTTTTAACTAAATATTTACTAAATTTAATATTTATTTTGGTACAAGAATTATTAATTTGATTTATTGGTAAATGTTAGTAATATTACTATTTAAACAAATATTTTTTTAAAATTTAGTAAATTTTTTTTGGTGTAGTTCATATTCTGATTTTGAACTACATTTGTTACTTTCAATTAGGTCTTATCTAATACTTCGGATGGAAAACGTTATATAGACTTTTACAATGTGATGGCATATCCTTATCTGGCGATTGTAGATCCTAGAACAGGAGAGTGTATGAAAGCTTACAATAACATTACTGTTGATAGCCTGATCTCTGATTTAAATGATGTACTGAGCACACACCCATCTCCAGAAAGTGCTACGTATGTTTCATCTGACTCTAAAGATTGGAATAATTTTCCTACAACACCTCCAAAACGAAATACTGTAGCTGATCAGATAAAGAATGTTAGTATATAAATTTTATAATTTTTTTTCTCTTTTTATAATTGATTTTTTATTGTAATATTCGCTTTTTCAGGATTGTGGACTTAGTAGCAAAACTTCTAGACTTTTATCAGAAAAAGTCACATATTTTGGTTAGTATCTTTAAAATTGAGAGAACTAATTTTAAAATTATGTATTTATTTATTTTACTAAATAAACATACTATTTTACTTATTGTTAGTTTTTTTTAAATATCTGTGTTATGTACAACAGGAAACGAGAATGTAGCATCTGACAACATTACAAGTTCGAGTATTTCAAATTTGAATGCTCCAAGTAGCAGCAATATTGCTTTTAATAAAAAGAGGAAATTGAATGAATGTGCGACTAAGCAGCAAAAGGATGAAAAATTAAAATCAGATACAACTAAATCTGAAACAGGTATATGATATCTCCTATGGCTTATACTATTTTTGATATATTCTTTATTTCACCTGTAAAATAACTTTTTAATCCAGGTGACGAACCTTTTCTACGGCTCTGTCTACGATTGCCTAATGGTGCAAAGGAAACGTTATCAATGTGTGCAACGGATACCATAGAAGTATGTATTCAGATCTCTTTCTAAGATTGCATTTCTAAGATTATATACGTATGCAAAAGAAAAGTATAATATAATTGCACATTTTGTAGGACTTTTTGATTAAAATGGAGGAAATGGGTTTTCCATCAACAGAACATACATTTTTGGTGCCATTCCCGAAAACAAATATTGGTGCATTATCCGCAAATACTCGTCTGCTAGATACAATCTTATTTCCAACGAACACAGTATTCATATCAAAGATATAGTAATTTTTTCCGAATAAGTAATAATTGCTTCCATTACATTTCCTTAATTATATTTTCTTCATTATATTATGATAATTGAGATATTCATTAAAAATTTTGTCACTGTTATTTCTACGTTACTATACGAAAGTTTGTAAAAATTGTATAGTTAAAACTTTAGAGTTTGATCTCTGTTCCTTAAAATTAATGAATCAATTATTCATATCTCGTATTTATTTAAGTACGTCTTGAAACATTCTCATTTAAAGATATACATTTTTTCATGTAAGGCAAATGATAAAAGCACTGCCATTCGGTGTTCATGTCATACAAAAATGCGTTCATTAATCTTTTTATCTTAAATTAGGAGTTAAGATTCGCAACTTATAAGAGAAAAAAGTTGCATACGTAGTTACTGCCGAAGTATCGAATAATATTACTTTTTAGTTTTATTATTACCATTTCCGGAAAATCTTGTAAGTGCCGTCCATAATGCATACAACCATCACAATACATCCTTTTTGGAATATTTCGAAATGGCACATACAAATTGTTATATCTTGGCAGTCATTTTATAGCATTATTACTCGATATAATGAAATATTTAAAGCGTTCTTTATGAAACTTTTATCAATGTGATTCAAGATACAGGACAAGTAAGATTCCATTTCATAATACAATATATATCACAGTTATAAATGAAAAAAATGAGATAATGAAAACATTTATGTATATCGCAATACAAGGTATATCAATGTATCATCTTTTCATTAAGATAATCAATTCAAGTTACAACTGCCGATATAGTTAAGATAGACGTAGAGCAGGATAGTTTAAAGATATGAATTATAATTGTCAATAGAATATGCTGCATAAAAGATTATGCATTGATTACAGATACACGTCATGTCATCTGTATTTTTACTTATTTCTTAGTATACAGTGTCATAATTCTGTAACATACATGATAGAAAGTATTTCTCCTATTAAGTGTGTACTTATATTAAATATATCATTTAATTCAATCATATTAATGTCTTATATATATTCTGCATCACTTTTTAATATAAAATTCTAATTTTTTTTAAAGCTTGTCAACAATTATAATGTTACTTGAACTTTTAGTTTCATATTCCCTTTAATAAATAATCTTAGTTTTATATATATATATATATTAACGATAGGGATATATTGATTCACATACATATAACAAAACATGTATTATATATACGTGGTCTGAGAATAAAGTTCCCGTATTCAACAATAAAAAGAACAAAGATCTCAGATAACAAAAAGTTGTTTTCTTTCAAAATAGTGTCTAACATTAATACGCTTCAAAACAAAGTCCATAGTTGCTGTTTAGAACACTTGTTATATTCTTCTGAACATTCCTGACATCTTAAAAAAGTTTATTTTTTATGGCATTTTTGAAAACAGTATGAAATTCGAAAAAGTTAATAAGATGAGTGAGTAATTTTAACAATTCTTTTCTTGACCAAAAACAAAAATTCTTTTATCTACAGGAACATTGTCATGCAACTTTCTCGGTAAACATTTTTAAGATGTTGAAGATATTCAGAAGAATATGACGGTGTTCTGAATAGCATTCCAATATGCATTTAAAAAAAAGTTTTGAGACTTTGTATCGAAGATGTGTAAAGTGTATTAATGTTATGAGTAACTACTTTGAAAGTTAAAATATAGATGTGTAAAGTGTATTAATGTTATGAGTAACTACTTTGAAAGCTAAAATATAATACTTTGTTATTTATAAATCTGTATTTTTTTATTGGTATTATAATCCGGAAATTTTATTCAGATCATGTATGTATAGGATATTAAAACGGTAAATAATTCTGCAATATAGGATGATAGGATTCATTAAAATACCAAAAATTAAAATAAAAATAATATAATATATAACAAAGTTTTGTGAAAACAATTTGTCATATGCGTATGGTTTACATATGTTATTTATATAATATATACATATATATACAAATTAATTCAAAATATAGTTTGTTTATAAATGTTATATGAATAAAGCTTCAGTCATTTTTGATTTTTAAATATTGATATTATATATAATATATAAATGTATATTTGTTATAGGTTGGACACTATCTGAGTATATGGTATTCAAAAAATATATTCCCATTAAAATAATCCTATGAATCACAAGAGAAAGTGTAACACAATTATTATAAATATGTAAGTTCAATAATTTTTTGATAAAAAAATATTTGGTATTATAATTCGTTATTGGTTATAAACAACTACATAATGTTTTGCCTAAAAAATCACATAGTACTAGTCTGTTTCCAGCTACAGGAATTTGCTAAATTTATGTTTTAAAGATGTTACAAGATTTATTTCACTACGATAACGTCGTGTGGAACACTGTAGTCCAATTAAAACAGCAATGGCAGCAAACATTAATGGTTATTGACATTAATTTTTGTCAATTCGATATTGAACTTGATGCACAAAGCGGAATATTAGTGAGGCGGTTGCATGAGTGCTGTCTGTGCACGTAAAGTCATACCAGTCACATCTTCTGTATAGTGGAATGAGAAAAGAATAAAAGAATATTAGATATAACAATATAATTCATAAATCATATAGATTCTACATAATAGCAATAAGTAAACAATAGATAAACAATGTGCTTGAAATTAATATAAGCTAATAATTAAACTTAAAAAAAAATTAAGTTATTAACAAAATTCAACATTAACAAATAAATTCAACAAAGACTAAAATAAATAACATAATAGAACGTCGAGAGAAATGATATAATATTGTTAGTACATAAGCAGCCTTTGAAATACTTGTGAAGAACGTGTGATATCAATTCTGGAGATAACACATGCTACTTTTTCTTTAAAAAATAAGAAAGATAATTCAAACATTTTTATTCGTATATATGTTTCAGTACATTATATAACGATAGATTTTCATGAAACAGATTTTATATTCAATCAACACAATAATATGTTTAATGTCAATATATTTTATCTACACTACAAAATGTTCTTAATGTATATTTTTAGTAGTAAACATATATATTCGAAGACAATACTCTGAGTATATTATACATTATATGTATATACATATATAGTGAGTAAAAAGAATTATTAATTAGAGAAAATGCTGTCCAAAAATATTAAATACTATCAATATTAATAAATAATAACTTCATTACTTTCATCGATATCAGCAAATATATAGAGATTTCATTAAATATTAACAGTATATAAGCATTTAAAACATAACACGTACATATTAAGTATTATTCAGCGACTAGTTTAGAAAATATAATTTCACTAATAACAATGTCTTGATTTTATTTTTGAAATTATTTTTGAAGCATCAGAATTTTTTTTTTGTATTGTCTATATCCGAGAGAGAAGGCATAATAATATTGAAAATAAATATATATATATATGTATATATATGACTGCATCCATTAGCTTATCTGAAGCAGATTTAAAAATCACTCCATAGTAAACAGATTGGTATTGTGTAGTAAGATTGTTAATAAGATTGCAAAGCATTTCCACTCGATCTATCCTAAGAACTCAAACATAAAGAGCTATAGAAATTTATGAAAATAATTCTTCTTCCATACCCAGATGTTTTAGAAATACACCCATCGGCGTACGTTTCAAACCAATGCCCTCGATTTTATTGGCAATCCTGTTTTTGATATTCCTTAATCTCAATGAGGCATGTACAAATGTCACTGAAAAATAGAGATATAACTTATTATTGTAATAAAAATCAATGTGATTTTTATTGCTCAAGAAATAAAATCAAAATTAATAATGATATGAAATAAATGATATCAAATGTCACACTTACCGCAGACAGGTAACAGAATGCCTAGAAAGAAAACTAAAAGAGATCCTAGAGTATACGTTATGAAACATCCAGCGAATATTATAAAGAATATTCCAACAACAGGATATTGCCTTTTGAAGTTATGTATTGTGCTTCCTTCCATGGATACATAAGCGAACGTACCCAAGATTGCCATCATTGCTAGCATACCAACTAGCATTTTAACAGGATGGATCAATCTATAAGAATTTATCATAAATAAATCAACAAGTATGAAACAATACATAAAAAGTACAGTATAAAGCATTTGTACAAGAATTTTCGAAAAGTTGACAATATTAAATTCAGCTTAAGTTCAAATTATCTCATTCAAGACTTCAAAACAACTTTCATATATGTATTTAGAACGTGGCAAAAATCAGAAGCCTCAAAATCTTTCTCAGGAATTTGTAATCAAGAAAGTTCAAGAACCATTATATGTTAACTCAAAATAACACTCAGGTCCATTTCAACCTCTATAGATTAACTATAATCTTGATTTAATTTTTTTTATAATTCTTGAAACTAGAAAAACATAAAAAGTAATTAAATCGAGCCCAAGTTAATCTACATAGAAATGGACATCAATATACAGTCGAAAATCACTCACCCGACAATAAGGAAAATAACGATGGATGTAAACAAATAATTAGTCTGATAGTACAGGAGATTGTTGACCACTCGGTTGCCCCACTTCTCTAGGTCCTTGAGATTCGGTAGCTGAAAACGTGCGGACTCCAGCAGGAAGTCGTCCAGGCTGCGCAGCGGCGGTAGCTCCAGGTTGCTCACCAGCTTCGTCTTGTCCATCGTTCCGTCGAATTGATCTCAATGATATCGCACTGTTAGAATCAGCCGATCTTCCCTCTAGATCGTTCTGCCGTCGTACCGGTATTTTTGGATGATGACGAGTCCGGCGACGAATGTCATGCGATGCCGACGACGTGGATTGTCAGTAACGATTAATTGGAGCGATCGCTTATTATCGGAGCAACGTGAATCTGTTCAAAGAAACAAGTCGCTTCGTGTACAAATAATAAATATAGACGCTAACAAATCGCCCTCGATCGTCGTCAAAATGCATCCACGACTACGTATTACGTTTCTCGGGGCTCTTGACAGGTAGGATATCAGATGTTCGATATCAAAATCTTTAGTTAAGGTAGGAAGGTGTTTTATCGAGTGGGAGGATGACCTGCTTTCCCGCGACATTCGAAACAAAGAAACATTGGTAGACTTACATTACATTTTACTTTACATTAAAGTCTGAATAAATTGATTGAATAAATACTTCAAATATGATATAATAAATATATAATATATAATAATTATAATAATAATATAATAAGATGCATAAAAATAGACGGAAAGAAATGATAATGAAAAATAAATATAAATGTATGAATGTCTAGAAATGCGTGAGACACGATTAGAAAGGCTGTGACACAATATTAGGGATATATATTGTACTGCGACATATCTATGTATAGTTGTAGCTAGGACTCGTACTATTGTACTGTATATGTAATATATTGTATAATATAGTATATATGCAATGGTCAGGTTGTGATATATAGGTAATAAATATTATAAGATAGAAGAACATATATTACGATATTCAAAGAAATGAAAATAAGAATATTAAGAAAATCTTTTATTTATTTTTAGAATTAGGTACTAGCAGTGTGGAAGGATGAGTGTGGATAAGAAATTTATGTAAACCAAGTTCCCTTCTTGGCTATGTAAAGTGTAATAAATTCTATAAATGAATGTATGAATGAAGGAATATGTATGAATCTTTTGCTGATTATTATGCGATATATTATTGTTTAATAAATGCGAATTATTATGCACAATATAAATTTATTCTAACACTGCTAAGAATCATATTTTTATTACATTCTTTTATTGAATACAATCTCCATTCTTATTGTGTACCTTCGTCATTGTTTTTGCACCGTTATTGTAATTCTGCTGTAATCGATCTGTTTTACTAAAATAACAAATAATGAATAATTCTTGATGTATATGCATTTTTATAATTTAAATTAAACTACTACGCTACTGCATATATTATATCAAACAGTATGACATAATATTATTTCGTAAATTATAATATGCCGGATTATTAAAGTAACAGAATATTGAAGAATTTTCGTCGGTATCTTTGATATTATCTGCAAATAAATATTTAAACATTAGAACATTTTAAAACACTGATGATAGACTGATTCCAGAAAGTCGTCATCAGAACTAATTGGAATTTGCTTGATTCTTCAGTAAGCTGTAGGTGACTTCCACAAATTTCTTATTGTATTTCCTGAAAATGTATGAAAGAATAATAATCAAAGAAAAATCAATTAATAGTATTATAATATTTGTCTTGATTTTGATAAGTATTCATCCATCTTTATGTAATATTTTTTGACGATTCTGCGAACAGTTTACAAGACCATAATACACTTGTAGCCTAAATAGACCATACATCTGTAAAATTGCTTTCTTGGAGTCCTTTAGTTATGTGGGATATATCGCATCATCATGTTTTCTATCTTTAATCTAAAAAACATACATACATGTCTATTAATTTCGATTCTCAAAATTAAAATCTAAAAGAAATGTTGCTTCATCAATTAATCAGCGATTAATTAAATCTTGTGACATGTAATAATATAAATACAACTCAATTATTTACCATTGTTGCAAAACACTACAATTCTTATTTTATGATTGCTCGATAAAGGCTCCTGAGGCTCCTGACTCAATCACACAATATTAGACGGTTGCGGACGAAACTTAGCCACGCACGCACACATGCACACACACACGCACGCACGCACGCACGCACGCACGCACGCACGCACGCACGCACGCACGCACGCACACACACACACACACACACACACACACACACACGCTGTACATCCTGTCCATGTGTTCTCGGCGCGCCGAAAGCGAGCACATGTTCATGAGCTCGTACTTTTGTGTGTGTGTGTGTGTGTGTGTGTGTGTGTGTGTGTGTGTGTGTGTGTGTGTGTGTGTGTG